AATACAAATAGCAAAATTAATTTAAATTATTTAAAAATAAAATTGAATCATGATTTAAAAAAATTTATCAGTTTGAAAATTTAGTTTTTAGAAATTGTAAATAATATATTGAAACTAAATAATATAATTTTATTGATATTGTGAATACAATGTGATTAATGTGTTTCTAGATTATTTTAACAAATAAAAAGAGAATTATATTATTTTATTTTTGCTCATATAACTTGATTTTGAAAAGTGAATTTAATATTCACCTTCCTTGATTAATGGAAACTCAAATAACATTTTAAGAATCTTATTATCTTATAGAACTTGATGAAAATCGTATATTAAGTAATATAAATTAATAGATAGTGATAAATGTAAATAATTTATTATGATTAATTGAAGTAAAAAAAATAATATAGATATTTTTAATTTAATTATAATTATGAAGTAGAGATTGCTATTTAAAGAATTAAAGTTATTAGATATGTATATATATAATATAATTATAATGGGGCTTTTATATTTAGATATCAAAATATTAGATGGATAATTGATTGATAAAATATTTGAAGTAAATATAAATGAATTAATAATAATGATAAATTAAAAAAAGATAAAAATAGAGAGTCGTTAAGATTGTATAAAACATAAGCTTCCAATTTGTGTAGTAGTATGGGATAAGAAAATGGATAAGAATGAAAGATTATTTTGTTCAGAATGTAAATGTTAAGAGTTATATGAGTGCTATGTAATTGATAGAATAGAGTTAAAATGAGAGAAGAGAATAAGTGTCTAATGTTATAATGATGAGTGTATTATAGATTGAGAAATTAGAAAAGAATTTAAATATATTAAAATAAGGAGTAATATAAAGATTAGATAGATTAATAGAGATATGTGGAAGTTGGATTAAGAATTTATATTAATTAAAAGAATAATCAAAAGTATTTTAAGATTTTGTTGATGAATTAGATAGTTTAATAAATGAAACAAAAGTAGAAATAAATTTGAAACTGTTAATAGATTAAATAAATAAAATAAATAGAAATTAATAACATAAAATTATTGATAGATTGGAAAGATTTCCAGATTTTGAAGAAAAGAATGATTGTATTGAATAATTGAAAAACATAGATTAATTATATATGATTATAAAAGAAGAAATTTAAAGTTCAGATGATAATTAAAATTAAGATAGAGATAATTTAAATTAATAGAAATAAGATAATATTGAATTTAAATTAATAGATGATTAATATAAATAAAAAGATGATTGTTAAGTTATAGTTTTTGATAAAAGTGGATCAATTATGATATCTAATGATAATGAAAAGATCAAAATATGGAATTATAATTTAGGGAAATTAAAATTATTAAATACTTATTAGATACATAATAATTATATTACATGTTTAGTATATAGTAAATAAACAAATAGTTTTGTATCTGGTTCAGATGATAAAACAATAATTTGTTGGAAATAAAAGAATTAATAAGAATAATAAGAATGGATTTATTCTAATCCATATTAATTACATACTGGATATGTTAATTGTTTAATATTAAATTAAAATGAAGATCTACTATTTTCAGGTGGAGCAGATAAATCAATTAAAGTTTGGCATTCAGATTTTAATAATAATTAATTAATTTATCTATATTCACTTAATGAACATTCTAGAACTGTATTATCTTTAAGTCTTAATTAATCAGAAACTTTACTTGCTTCATGTGGATATCAAGAATTTATTATCTGGACTAAATCTTTTAGAGATAAAGAAAGATATGAATAACTTAAATAAACTGTTAATAATGGCTCAGATTAATCTCAAATCCTTAAACAACATTAATTACCTTTATCTGATAAATAATAATTTTAAATCAGTAAATAAAAATAATTAATATCTAATGGATGTAAAATATAATTTATTACTGATCAATTATTCATATGGGTTACAGATGATAAAAATACTAATTAAATCTTAGTATTTGAATAATAAGATGACATTTTTAAATAATCTAATGATAAAACTATTTAATTAATCAATAATCAATAATGTGATGATTATTACTACTTTCCTATTGTTTATAATTAAGATAAACAAATTATACTTATTAGACATAAATACCATATCTATCTTATTAATAAAGAAAATGATGACAAATTTAACATCCTAGCATCTAAGTATTGTAGAACTAAATATAACTATGGTGCAATGACAAATGATGCTAAATATTTAGTATTATGGGATAAATACTTAAAGAAATATTTATCTTATGAAATTATTATTAAATTTAAATAATGAAATTATATATCATTCCATCTAATTCTTTTTCCCATTTCTTTAATAATAGGTAAATAAAATAAAAATTCAAAATTAGTTATTTTAGAGTTAGTTCTCCAAATATTGAGTGATTAATTTATTTTTCATATTTCCTTTCATTAAATTGATCTATTCAGTTTTAATCTATATATTTTTATTCAGACTATTCCATATAAACATTATATATCTCTATTACTTCATATCATACATTCTTATTTACATTTTAATTTGTTTTTCAGAAAGATATCTTATAAAATTATAATTAAATCTAACTCATAATATAAAATAATCATAAATCAACCAAATAATAAGGTTTAGAATTTTTATGTGAATTTATTTGGATATCTTTAGTATAAATTATTTATAACTTTTTATTATTACAATCTAGATAATATAAATATAATTACTCTGCCCTTTTTATAATATCTTTTTCTGAGGTTATATCTTATAATTAACCATTATTTAATTGATTTATTTGTTAATCAAAAATTTTAGGAAAAACTGATTCATCAAATTTAGCAGCTAAACCTGTTTCTTGAAGTTAAAATTAATTTAATTAAAAATTTTATGATTCATAAAAATATTTGTACTTTTATAATTCATTTTCTAATGAATTCATCTATTTTTGATTATTTTAATATATTAGACTTTAATTTTTCTATTATTTATTAGAATCAATAACATTTTTAAGAATTCTATTTGCATTCATTCTCTATTATATCAAAAAATTTGATAAATTTCTATTCTTTTAATTTTCTTATTATAAACAAAAGTGTATTGTATTTGATAAATTTAATTATAAAAGTATTTTATTATTAATTAAAGTAACCATTGGATGATTTGGATAATTTTGAAAATGTTCAAGTACAGCATTTCTTGAATATATTAAATTTATTATGTTTTATAGGTCTTAGTAAACATAATATCTAATTTCTGATTATTATTATATTTGAGATTATTGGTATATTTATTATTAATTTTAGAATCCAATTCCATTTCTTTATATTCCACTTTAATGAGTCTTACTCATTTTATAATTATATTTCTCAATAGAAATACTTATAATAGAATAAATTAATAGAATAAAATTTTTTTTATTATATTAATTTTAGTTAAAGTTTGAAGTTAACCTGTAATTAAATGAAATAAATAAGTCACTAATAAATAAAGAATACACTAAATTCTAATTCAATCATTATTCTAATTAATATATTAATTTAATGATATTAAATGAATGAATTTTTATTTCTTAAAAATACTCTTGAATAATTTCAATTGATAACAAATTCAATATATGTTAAATTATAATATGATAATTTGAAATTTCATTTTTAAATAGATAGAAATTGATAGTTAATACTATTAAATGTTTAAAGTATTATGCAAAAAAATAAAGGTCATTAAAATATCTAAAATAATATATAATCAAGAATATTCAATAGAATTAAGTTCGTATATTTTAATTATTAGAAGTTATAAATGTATAAATATTTTCAGGCAGAATGAGATCTTTTTAATTAAATTAATATTTACTTACAATATCTCAAATACTTAAGATAAAAGTAAAAAAATAATTGAATCGTTTAGTATTTAAATACCCTAAACTTTAATTATAAAAAGCTTAATTTATTCAGTTTTAATGCAAATCTACTTAATTCATATTATTCCAACTTTATATAGACTTTTTATCTATCTCTACTACTTCATGTAATAATTTCTTATTTACATTTAAATTTGTTTTTGCTTAAAAACATCTTATAATAATTAATAATTTAACATTATTAATTTTTTTTTTGAATTTGATTAACTCATTATCATTCATATTATGATTCAAAATCTAACATTCTTAATTTTTAAAATAAATATGCAATTTTTTGGTTTACATTCATTAGTTAATTATTTACATCCAATTAAGTATACTTCTTCTAGAATTTATAATATATAATAATATTAAGATATATTAATCAGTAATATAAGATAAGTAGATGTAATTTAAAGTTTAACAATTATTAGCTATATAATGAAAACTTTATCTGTAATACCATCACATTAATTTAAATTCACTCATAAAATTGTTTATTATGAAATAATAATTACATTGAGTTTTATTAATATCTTTAGATAGCTTATTTTTTAATGATTCTTAAATACTTATTCAATTTTATTAAATTGGCTAAGTTTAATTATGATTTAATTGGAATAGTTATTAAAGTAATAAATGTAAAGTTTTTAGATTATATCATTATTTAAAGAATTAATTAATAATTTAAAACATTTGATCTTGATCATATTCATCAGCATTTATTTCTAACTCAATCAACGTTTCATAAGAGTTTTGTATCATCTATAGAACTTCTTAATATTTAATTTATAAGATTTTCTTCGCATGCCACTTTAATAAAAGCCTTAGCCTTATAATAAAATTTGATAAAAATAAACCAATTAATTTTTATACTTCATCATTAATTATATTAAAAGATTTTAATAATTATAATTCAACATAAATATATGTTATTCTTATAATTTAAATTCATATTATTAAAATATAAACTTTTTTATATCAATAAGATAACAGACTGATGGATTTATACAATTTTCTTGAAAGTTCTAAAAAGATTAAAAGGAAAATGCAGTTTCAAGATGGAAACATTGTTTAATTTCATCATTCATCTATAATTTATTTAAAATTTAAGTATTAAAAATAATCTAGAAAGATTTTATTAAATTATATATATTTTAAAAATAGAAATGTTAATAAAATATGATTACTTATAATTTATTGATAAAATATATCAAATCATTCCATTTTGTAACATTTTTTGAATTCTTGGTAAAATTAATAATTATATTTTTCTGAAAATAATTCTTCTGGTTTTTCCCTTTGGATAGATATTTTATTCTTCTTAATTTATTCCAAATAGTTAAAGAAATAAATAATATGGTTTATTTCAGGCTTTTTTGTATTATGTTCTGCAGTAAAAAGTCTGAAAAAATAGAACAATTAATAGTGATCATAAAACAAATTATTGCCACTTAATCTCAAATCTTAAATCTATTTCAAATATTATTCATATTAATAATCACTAAGCAAAACATGTATTAAATTTTAATATTCTTAAATAAATTAATCCATCTATTGTTTATTATCGATTCCGTTCTTATAGAATTGTTAAAATTTAATAAATTCATTTTAAATAGTTTCTTCTTCTGTATTATTATTTTTTATCTAGCTTCCTCCTGTGTTTATTTAGTGAAAATTTTACTTTAACTTATCTCTAACTTTATTTTAAAACTATCTACAATAATAATTATAAAATACTTTGCTGTTTTTAAAATATCACATTCTAAGGGAGTATCATAACTTTAACCATTTCTTAATGAATTAGCTCTTGAATCAATAGTGAATTCGGCTGAAATTCTTTTAATTAAATCCGATTCTTCTGATTTAGCAACTAAACCTGTTTCTTGTAATTTATATTTATTCATTTTAAAATTGCCATTCTAATAATCATTAGAGTATTCTATTAATGCTGTTTATATTGAATCTTCATTATTCACATATTCTTCTTCTATTTCGTTATTTCTGATTATCCGACTTGAATTTTAATTTGATGAGTTCATTTCAATATCATTAAAATTAATAACATTTTTAAGAATTCTATATGCTATCAATCTCTCTTATATCAAAAATTTAGATAAATATGAATCCCTTTAATATTATTATTACAAGCCTAAATGTATTGTATTTGATTAATTTAAATATAGTAGTATTTTGTTATTCATCCTAGAAACGATAGGATGATATGGATCATTCTTAAAATGTTCAAGTATAGCATTCCTTCCATATATTAAATTTATTAAGATTTATAAGTCTTCGTAAACATATTATCTAAATTCATGACATTTTTTTTGAGATTCTTGGTAATATTAAGTGTATTGTTGTTAATTTTATTAGTACTTGCAATTTAAACGATTCATTCGACAATTATATTATTAAATCTGATATAGGCAAAGTCTTATTTAATAGTTTTTAATAGAATAAAAATATTTGATTGTTTTTAAATTATAATTTATTAGTTAATTATTTTTCACACAATTTGAATAAACTTAATCACAGCAGAGTTTTTTATATTGGTCAAAAATGATTAAATATGAAAAGAAATATATTTAAATGGCAAGATTATTTATTAATCATATAAAAATCAACATAATCTTTAAATTTCTTGATAACTCTAAAATTGATTTAGTTTTAGTAAATAAATATACTTAAATAACTGAGAGTACCTAAAGCTTAAGATAATGATTAGATTTAATATTAATATCAATAATTCTAATAGTTATATTGAATAAATATAAAATAAATTTATTATATTAAACATAAAATAAAAGATTATATTATTAATATAAAATGGGGGATTCTTTAGAGTCTCCAGAGGAGAAAGATATGAAATAAGTAAAAGGAGTTAAGAACTCAGTTCATTTTGAAGATATGAGTTAAATAAAGAGAAAGGAGAAAGGTAATAAGCTAATTCAGAATGAATGTGATAAATTTAAGTATTTATTCTAAATTCCGAATATAATTTCTGATCCAAAACTAGTATAACGTAGAAAGACATTTGAGACATTTACAAAGAATGCAAATTTAGAATTATATTATATGCATTTAAAAAAGGCATCAGGTATAGCAAGGAGTATATCATAAAAGGCAGATTATAAAGAAGTGATAGCAAAAATACATAATAATAAGATATAAGATTAATTTGTACACAAATTACAAAAGAATAAGGGATTGATATTAACAAATGAGTTATGGTCAAATAAATTATTAAGTTAAGTATCTGATTAATCAAGATTGAAAGAATTATCATAAATGTTGTAATTGTAAAAGATTAAGTAGAATTCTGAAGAACAATTATAGAATTATGAATAATACTTTAAATAGTTTTTGAAATAAAAATGTTAGAATGAATTAGATATAAGAAAAGGAGAGATCAATGATTTAGATGAATAAGCAACTCTTGATTAAACATATAAAGATAGTCGTATTTTATCAAGGAATTAAAGCGTTCCAATAATGAAATAGACAGATTAAAGTTTTTTTTCAAGGGAAATATTAACAGCTTAGATAGATAAAAAAAGAAGAATAGGAGAATCTTAACATAGTACATATAAATTAGCTGAATTATTAAAGTTATCAAATGAAGAGATAAATTCAACTTAAGGAATTGTTATAAAATTAAAAAGATTCTCAAAAGAACAAGCAGAAATATAAGATAAACCTAAAAATATTAGAATAAGGAAGCTATTTGCTCAATAACTCAATAATGTAATTAAGAATTCAAAGAAGATCAATTGATTTAAATATATATATATTATTGATCTAATTGGTGTGTATAGATTAAATATATTCATTCTGAATAGAAATCTATGATAATTCCTAAGAATCAAATAAATTATAATCCATAATGTGTTAACCATAAAGTGTCTTTGTTATTATTCAAATTTATAAATTTATTATAAATGTAATATAGCTGAAGACACAAATGTTAACTAAGTAAGTAAACCTGTATATACATTACTTTAAATTGTTGAGATACTCAATAAACTTAAAGTATTGTATAATATATACATACCTGCTATCCATATAGAAATATTCTCCTATTAACATATTCTTTTTACTCTGGACCTTTAAAGAAACCATTTATTAGAACTTAATGTAGTATGAATATAATATTCTATTGATATTGACAGTCTTTTAGTAAATAAATTCAGTCATCTCTGTACTCATTAATAATAATAATCATTCATGTTTTTGAAGATGTCTTATATTATTCCTGGCACCTGATCATTCCATATCTTATTAAATTAATTTTTATCAATCAGTTTCAGTCTATTTATTGGATGTGCTACTATATGATATACTTCATTTTCGAATTGAGAGATCATCATTCGTTTCCCTTTGTGTGTTTTTTTTTGATTTATTATGATCGTTTTTAGTTTAGGTATTCTTGATGATTCACTTTTATCTAATTATTACCTAAGTAGACCTTATCGAACCTTAATCATACTTAAGATATCATTTTCTATTATTGAAGTAGTTTTTTCTACTGATAGAATAGATAGTAAGTTTGTACTTGTAATAACACCTTATGCTGATAGATCATATATTTAAAAGCATAAATTCAAGTATTATTATCTATCCAATTGTTACAATGAAGTAACAAGTTATTCATACATTTAGTATGTTAAAGTATCTGGGATTTTAAGTACTTTATTAATTTGTTCAACAATGATCTGACTGTAGAATTCTCTTAAATATCTCAAGAGTTATGCACGATGCATTCTAATACCAGTTCGATCAACATTGATAATGCGATTGTAAGTATTATGAACACTAACTTGTTAATTAATTATCTTTTATCTTTATTAATAAGTGTCCCCTGGAATAGAATCTTAATGTTTCATAACTACATCTATTGTTTCTGCTCTAATTTTCTACTTATGAGTATTTTGTTGAGTTCTACTCATTGATTTAGATAATCTATCAAAACTGGAAGGAGACTTCTTTTGCATGTTCTATGGAAGGACACGACAGTATTATTTAATGAGAGTTGCTTAGAATTCATATATTTAGATCAATACCATAGAGATTATGGTGAAATGCATGACTTGTTATATACTCAATTTAATTCATTAATCCTATCAAGTACTTATTCTTTCTAATATAAACATTATAATTTATCATCATTCATTTCTGATAATATTTCAAATACTCATACTAAACTAAACCAATTTATTATTATTCCATACTGTATTTTCAAGACTTCAACTAATTTAATTTATCTATATCATCTCTAATTCTTCTTACTATCTCATTCCTTTTCTATTTAATAATTCAACATTGTATAACATTCAAAATAATATTCAGAAATCTATTCCAATTCTACTAGTTTTAATAATTTTATATTCTCAATCTACTTTAATAAATTAATTGATAATTAGATCATCTAAATTTAAGAACCTTTTTCTCATAATTACTTTTATTCTTTTCTATTAATACCATCTCAAAGACTAATTAAAATAATCAATACAATCATCATATTTATAATATAATTCTTTATCATGATATTCATTTATTTATATCTATCTTTTTTTTATGATATATAATCAAACAAATATTAATCTAAATTCATTCCATTGGTTACAATCAGATTATTTTATTTCATCTTCTGAAATTGTACACACTTAATTTTAACAAGCACTTACTATTATTAATTGTATTTAGAAGTATCTCTTTTTCATTAAACGAACATAATTTTATTTATTTTGAAATTAAATTCGATTCACGCAGTTATAATTAAAAATAACTTAACATATCATTCAATTATTAATTACTTCTTATAGTATCAGACTCTTAATATTCTTATTGATTATAGTCTTAATTATGATCATGATCATTTTTTAATATTATGGTTATAACTATTAAGTTTGAATCTCTAATGCTGGTTATAGTTAGATTAGAATTATTTTAAGAAAAGCTCTTATTTAAAATAATTCTTATACTTGATCTGCATTTTTATTTGATATTGAGAAAAATGAGTAGCTAAACATAATAATCTTCAAATTTGATTGTATAAACTATAAGTTTATTCGTGTAGAGTTTAAATAAAATTTTAGTTTTAAAATAAAATTATTATTATTTTAGAGTAATTACAATATTAAAATAAATTAATTATTTAAATTTGTTAAAATTGTATGCAATATATAAGCATCACTATAATTAAATTATATTTTTTTCCAATAATTCTAACAATAGTCAGAGACTTTTATTTAATATTTGAAACAAAATAAATTTTTACAGTTCTTCATCAAATTATATATTAATTAATTTTTTAGGATCATTAATTTATAGAGCTAAAGAATTCTTTTAACCAAATAATAAATAGATAATATATAATAAAGACTAAATTATAATCTTTAACTCAATTAATTATTTTTAATTTAATGAAAACAATAATCAAATGGGTAGTGTTATAAATTAAAGTATTTATTTCTAGTTATTAAAATTTATTTTTAAAGACTTATTATTAGGATAATTAAAGCAATAAAAAGAATCCATAATTTCTATCTTATTCTTTCTTGTTTTACTTAGATATTATAATTGGATTAGTAAATTGATGTTTTTTTAAAGTATCTTTTTTTAACTTCAATGAGTTTGTATTTAAAATTTTTATTTTATAATCTCTTGATTATTGAATATATAAAAACAATAAATCTTTTTAATTTTTTTTAATAGAAGATGGGAAAAGAAATTATCAGTAATGGAAAAGCAGATGGTCGATCATCCATGGGGAACTATGACTCCTATAAGACTTTTGGATAAGCATTTAAAGCTGCTCATTCTTCAGGTGGACCAGGACATACTTTCACTTATCGTGGGAAAATGTACACAACAGATTGTAAGGACGGAGGGGATTATCGAAAAAAAAAAGATGATAGAGGTTCTTTCCTTCATCGTGTAAGCCAATATGGACATCAAATCAATAAATTTGTCAAAGAATCAACAGGTTTTCATTGCCAAGATTATCTAACTGGAAGAGGCTATAAATGGTCATCTGATGTAGATAAGCAAAGAGTTGAATATCATCGACGTGAGATTGAAAAGTAATAGAAAAAATAATAAAAAAAAAAAAANACACACTTAATTTTAACAAGCACTTACTATTATTAATTGTATTTAGAAGTATCTCTTTTTCATTAAACGAACATAATTTTATTTATTTTGAAATTAAATTCGATTCACGCAGTTATAATTAAAAATAACTTAACATATCATTCAATTATTAATTACTTCTTATAGTATCAGACTCTTAATATTCTTATTGATTATAGTCTTAATTATGATCATGATCATTTTTTAATATTATGGTTATAACTATTAAGTTTGAATCTCTAATGCTGGTTATAGTTAGATTAGAATTATTTTAAGAAAAGCTCTTATTTAAAATAATTCTTATACTTGATCTGCATTTTTATTTGATATTGAGAAAAATGAGTAGCTAAACATAATAATCTTCAAATTTGATTGTATAAACTATAAGTTTATTCGTGTAGAGTTTAAATAAAATTTTAGTTTTAAAATAAAATTATTATTATTTTAGAGTAATTACAATATTAAAATAAATTAATTATTTAAATTTGTTAAAATTGTATGCAATATATAAGCATCACTATAATTAAATTATATTTTTTTCCAATAATTCTAACAATAGTCAGAGACTTTTATTTAATATTTGAAACAAAATAAATTTTTACAGTTCTTCATCAAATTATATATTAATTAATTTTTTAGGATCATTAATTTATAGAGCTAAAGAATTCTTTTAACCAAATAATAAATAGATAATATATAATAAAGACTAAATTATAATCTTTAACTCAATTAATTATTTTTAATTTAATGAAAACAATAATCAAATGGGTAGTGTTATAAATTAAAGTATTTATTTCTAGTTATTAAAATTTATTTTTAAAGACTTATTATTAGGATAATTAAAGCAATAAAAAGAATCCATAATTTCTATCTTATTCTTTCTTGTTTTACTTAGATATTATAATTGGATTAGTAAATTGATGTTTTTTTAAAGTATCTTTTTTTAACTTCAATGAGTTTGTATTTAAAATTTTTATTTTATAATCTCTTGATTATTGAATATATAAAAACAATAAATCTTTTTAATTTTTTTTAATAGAAGATGGGAAAAGAAATTATCAGTAATGGAAAAGCAGATGGTCGATCATCCATGGGGAACTATGACTCCTATAAGACTTTTGGATAAGCATTTAAAGCTGCTCATTCTTCAGGTGGACCAGGACATACTTTCACTTATCGTGGGAAAATGTACACAACAGATTGTAAGGACGGAGGGGATTATCGAAAAAAAAAAGATGATAGAGGTTCTTTCCTTCATCGTGTAAGCCAATATGGACATCAAATCAATAAATTTGTCAAAGAATCAACAGGTTTTCATTGCCAAGATTATCTAACTGGAAGAGGCTATAAATGGTCATCTGATGTAGATAAGCAAAGAGTTGAATATCATCGACGTGAGATTGAAAAGTAATAGAAAAAATAATAAAAAAAAAAAAAATGATAAATCATTTTATTCATATAAATATAAATATTAAAAATATTATAATTTAATTGATAAAATTTTTATTTTCTTTATTTTATTTAATCATTAAAATAATTTATTTTTTATTGATTTTATAAATTTTTTCATATTTTCTTCATAATAATCATTATAGAACTTATTACCATATATTTGCAACATAACCAGAAGAATTTTAGACAATTTATGGATAATACTATTTTTTATTTAATCTTAAATAAGATTCATATTAAATATAAATCTTTGCTCATTTATAAAAAATACTATAATTAGGTTTTTTTTAATCGACATAAAATACATATAAGATTTCGATAATATTATATCTATTCTTTTAAAATTTCCATCTCAAAATTAAATTGTATCAGGATTTATTAATTAAATAAATAAAAAAAGATTCATTTATTAGAAATAAAGCATAAATAAAGATTTTAAATAAAAAGATAAGTGAATCCAAATAATATGTTTAAATGCAAATATTTTACAATGAAATTATAATAAATTATTAAAGTAAAAAGAGATAATAGAATAAAATATTTTTTAAAAATATAAATATAAAATAAGTTAAGATTATTTATCTGTATAAAACCTTGAGATCATTTTTGGTTTAAAAAAGAAATAAAGGTAACTTTATCAAATTATTTATTTTCAAATTCAACAAAAGCTTTTCCAATTCCTTTTAAATAACCATTTTTCTTCTTCTAACAAATCATACTATCAATTTTTTCAATTACTTTTTTAAAATCTTTAAGTACAAAATTGAATTCATAATCATCATCATTCGACAGTATTATAAATAACAATGACATTACTATCTTTCATTTAATTATTCTTATTATATTTCAAAAGTAGATTACTTTCCAAATTTAAAATAAAAACAAATAATTTTTAGATTTAGGAACTTCTTTTTAACCTTTAATTTGTGGACTAATTTTATATTCTTTAACTATTTTAAATTAATTGGTTTTCTTTAATATCAATGGTTTTAATTTATAAAGCTGTTTTTGTTTCTTCAATACTTCAAAACTACAAAAAATATATTTAGTCTGGTTACAATAATAGAATTTCAAAGATCTCATATAAGTCCATAAGAATCCATTTATTATCTTATATAATTATGAAAATGATCCTTATCTATATGATCTTACTGATTCTCTAATAATATTTAAAATCTAATTATATTTATAAATTAAATGAGGATAGTTTATTTTGTAAATATTATTGTACTTTACATGTACCAATTTCTCTCATCTTAAACGAAGTTAATTGTGATTAAACTTAAGTTTATTTGAAGTGATTCATATGATTTCACTTTTTTGAATATTGGAGTTTCCTAATTTTCTGATCTTAGTCTATTTCTTTATTTTATCATCTAATCATATACTTATATTTATATATATATATATCTGTTATTGTTATTCTAAATCACTTCTATGAAAATCATCAATCTTCTTGGTTAAATTCTTTTTATTATCCTTTATTATTAATATAAATAGTTTAAGATCATTTTTAATCACAATATATTTTATCATTACTATTCTAATAAGAACATCATCTCTTATACTGATATTGATTGTTATTACTTTTTTTAAAAAGATTAACTTTTATAAATATATTATTTTATGTATGTCTCTAATAAAATAGAACTAAATCACTTTACTATTGATGCCAATATTCATCATCCAGATATGTTATCAAAGGTCAATTATATTAATAGCAACATTCTTGCCAGAAATCCAATATAAAAGTATTCAAAATTCTTATTTAA